TTTTTCAAAAACCGGTCAAAATTTAAACTTTTCAAATACTGGTTCGTGTATTTGTACAGAAGGCTATTACCTACAAAAAAGACAGAAATCGTTCAAATATGTTCAATAGTTCCTGAGGATAAGGTACACGAAATGACAAAGGATACATACTTTGGTATAGGACAGGGGACTCCTCTTAATCCGGAGTATTTTATACTATGAGAGGTTTCTCTTTTATTAATCAAGAGGGGAGGGGAGGGGGTTATCCATATTCTGAAAAAAATTTGAATTTAAAATAAAAACCCAATTTGAGTAGGTAAACCTGATAATGTTCTTTCACCCGACTGACGAAACATTAAATCGAAGGTAACGTCTGGATGCAACTATTCGCGATCTGTGCAACCGTGTTGCATACACTAAAGAATGAAGGCGCTTCAGCGGGATCTCACTGCTCTCATAATCCTATCATTTTACAACACTTCTTATCGTTGTAACCAGCAAAACGTTGCTCCGATGATAAAGGGACCGACAAGTTGGAGGAAAACCGTTCTTTATGTCACTATTATATTTGCAAAAAGCACGCACATACATACATAAAAGTCGCTCCTACAACGTGTTTTGGCGTTCTGCAACACCCAAACGCTGCATGTTCCCAGAGTTTATCGCACAACTATCAATGCAATTTCTCTTTGTTAACGCCCTGCCACCATCCCTTCATAGGACATCCCCAAAAAATAACTATGAAAGAAAGTGAAGGAGAAGGCCTCGACATTTCAGTTAGCTCTGCAAAAGTCAGGTCTACCTCAGAGAATACAGTTTGCTACATTTAAATTTTAAACGCTCTTTTAATTTTGTTTTTCAGAAAGAGTTGCTATTAAAATTCTGGATAAAGCCAAGCTGACTGTCAAAGCACGCAGGATGTTGGACCGTGAAATCTCTAACATGACGTCGATTCACCATCCAAATATCATCAGGTAGGCGAAGTTACCTTTTCTTCATCTCGTCAGCTATTGGTCAGAATCCAAAATAAATCTTCAGATTATACAAATCAGTAAATCTGTTTGTGAGCTACTGATCATGATGTAAGATTTAAAATGCCTCCAGCTGCCATTGATTCATTATATCGTCATTTCTAGTATGAAGGAACGTAAATCCATTCCAAGGTTGCACAGTTGAGTCAAATAATTTAATTTTTTACAAGAATGTACCTGTGCAATTTTAGTCGATTTTTTTTTTTATTTTCGTAAGAGATCAGAGGAAAAATCATCGAAATTTTCAGTCAGAAAAGACCAAGATTCTCCTAGTAAATATGCAATATGCGAAGTGAAATTTGGCAACATTGAAAAGCAGTTACGTTCCTTCGCGAGGGAGATGACCGTGTGTCTGAAGTTAATGTCTGTTTCCTTACTTTCACCCAAGATATTGTCTCATTTATTCAATCATTAATTTTTTAGTGTTAGCGTGCAAAAAGAACCTTTCTTGATTAAGTGATGAGTCTCGAGGAGCATAATTGTAAACGGCTGCTACTCGTACTGAATTCCTAATCGTTATTTGGTTTCAGATTATTTGAGGTGATCGAATCTTTCTCGAAACTATTTCTAGTCATGGAATATGCCAGTGGAGGAGAGCTTTATCAAAAGCTGACTGCCGTTGGTAAACTTCCAGAAATCGATGCCAAGACCATTTTTGCTCAAATTTTGTCAGCTGTCAAATACCTGGTAAGAGACAAGATTTTCCCATTTGGTCACTCTTAAAATGAGGTTGAATAAAGTTGAAAGGTAGTTACAGGGCGAGATCACTTGATATCATGTTCCTAGAAACACTCGGTGATATCATGCACCCACATTGGGATTCTAAGTAGAAAATTGTGACATTACTGTCTACATATTTGGCCATGATAAATCACGAGTAATGATGAACCTCCTTCCCCTAAAAAAGGATGCACGTACATTTATAGAGGATAAAAGTAAATCTTAATTTGAACAAAACAGTAAAACAGGAAAAAACTCCTCATGTAATGAAATAAACTGTTGCTATTCTTAATTTTCGAGCCAGGAATATAATACATTGAAAAACGGTATGCTGAGTGACGTCAAAAAAATTATGTTACTCAATTTAGGAAAATTAATTAATTTACAACGACGATCAGCGACTAAATAATGGATTATCGGAGGATATTGTGCTTATATATGTTTGCGAGCATGAGAAGACTGTGAAGAACGCTTCCACTCTAAGTAAGTGCGCTTTGAATGAATCATGAAGTTCAATGTTTAGAATCTATTCATCGTGAATTATCTTGCTTACATTTCTTATCGGTTAAGTTATCACGTATCAAGTCAGAAACTATCACTGAGGCCCCCCTTCATTTTATTTTTTTTAAAATAATAAGTCTTCGAAACAGAACCTGGAGCTTTTGCTGAGGAAAGCAGAATATTCTGACACCGAATTCAATGTGCTCATTTCGTCAGAAAATCATATTATAAATTATTGAATATAGGCTATAAATAGCAGTTTCTCTTCAAACAAACTAGCATCGAGGCTGAAGGTGATTTAATGAGAGTGTCAACAGGAGATCAGTGAACTATGTAAACTGCATTACTTGTACTACTGCAGCTGGGGTCAGAGTAAGAGTTTCATCCCTGATTAAATTGATTGGATTATTGTCTCGAGCTTGATTGGCAGTGCGGGAAGATTGAGGGCGCATGGTGAATCAATCTGTTTCTCAATACGAGTCTTACTTCATTAGAATATTGTGAAAGCCATTATGAACATCCACTAAGAACATTCACGTCTAAAATTGTATTACTCTTATTTCAAATGTAGATCAGAGCCCATCCAACAATTACGTAACACCCACGTACCAACGTGACTCACGTGACGATTGCGTGAGAAGGGGTTGGAGGAGTCTAAAATTGCGAGACATCACGCAAAAATCGGTGCAAACGCCGATTTTTAAGAATTTGTCGCTGGTTTTACTGGAAAAATCAACGAAAGATATGGACGATGATTTACTCCAAAAAGGGGTCTGGCTGGGTGTACCTCAATTTTTCGAAGTGGGGTGCAGGTTCAATTGAAGAATGTGTGATGAGGAGGGGGAGTCCAAAAACCCGATTTCTGTGTGCCATAATTTAAAATAGACCCTTGACCCTTTATCTTACGTTTTTTTTTTTTAAAATTCATAATTTATCTTGCTGGAGTTATATTTAGATGCTGATAAAATTTGAAATTTTTATCATAAAGCAAATTTTCAATTGCTGAAGTAACCAAATTTCTCCTCTCATAAATAGTCAGACAACATGGATAAAAACGTAGTCGCGTGTCTCTAAATTCCACCATAAACTTATAATCCAAAAACATACAAAAAAGAAGATTTTTGCCTCTTTTTACCTCTCTATCTTTTGCTACTTCTCACCATAAGATTCTGACCATACACCCCTCCCTCACCCTTTACGAATAAAATACCGCAGCTTGCTGCTATTGCCACTTCCATGATTTGTAATTTAAATACTTAAGGGCACAATTTAACTAAACTATGGGTTTCACATGTCTCCAATTCGAAGAGGTCATATCAATGACACCTCTATGTTTTAAAGAGTCTATCATGGAAAGCGTTGAGTGACATTCTTCAGTTATGTTAAAAATAAAAACTTTACTCGACTGCGAGCTTTACACTCTCACGTGATAACTTTGCGGTAAACGATGAAGAACGAATATGTAACTGATGCGGTCATTATTTTGCCAGCATCTTTGAACCTGTTATCAGCAATTGGAATGCTTTACTTCACGCCTATTAATAGGGCGAACTAAAGTTTCATTCTATAAAAAGAATCATTTAAGCACAAAACAGCAGAAGACTGTTTTTGTTGAGGTTAAGCGGTACTATTTATGAATCTTGATTTTTTTTATGTATTTAATAAGATTATTAACGCATTTAACTTATTTGGATGAATTCAATTTCGCGGTTGACAATGCTATAGACGCTTTTCCACTTGCGGTTATCAGGAATTTCAATTCGCTCATGCCAGCTGATTAACCCTTACCAGTGGCGAGGCGTGAATAATCGATTATCGATTTCTCCCCGTTTGAAGCTGTTGTAAAGAATCGATTTTTAAAGTGTTCGTTGCGAACACCCTGTTTATCGATCCTTTTCCATGGATTCAAAGGGCAAATCAATCGATATATCGCCAAGTATGCCACACCCTTGACTCCTATATGCGCAAGCCGGATCATTTTGACGCCTATAAACACGTGATGTGCGGTTTGTATGGGGGTAGTACAATCAAGTTTTAGATATGGGTCTACAAATACATCGTAAAAAAAGAATCAGAAATCAAGTTAAAAAAAAAGAAAAAATTGAGTGTCAAAACAACTGAATAAAGATAGAAAGAGACGTATTTGGGCCTCGGTTTCAACGTCTCTCCCCAATCTGAGCAACACCTCAGCGGCAGCTTAGAGCGGAGCATTACGAGTTTACGTCTCGCGTCGTCGCGCCTTCAATTTTGCAGACGCAACACGGACATCCATCGAGCACGAATAGTTGTATCTCTGCGCCGTCGTCGACGCGCGTCCTTTCCCTTGCTCTATTTTCATGTTGTGTCCGTTCCGTTTGTCTTATATTGGTAGTGATGCTTCCAAGGCTGCGTGAGTTACACAGCCGAAGAATGAAAGGCGTATTCGGGTTCCGTTTTTTAACTATTCAGCCGAATCTATGCAAAATCTCTTTGGTATTATTTGTTATTTTTGCTTATTTACTCATCGTGTTTTTTTATGTATGATTTCAGCATCAGAATTTGATTATTCACCGAGATCTGAAAGCAGAGAATGTTTTTTGTAGCTCAAGAGGCCTGGTTAAAGTGGGGGATTTTGGATTCAGCACAAGGCTTGCAAACGGTAAGCATTATTGTTCATTGGTTCTCGTTGAGGAACTATAGCTGTTTGTTCTGCTTTATCGTAATGATTAAGTAAGTAACATCCGGCTACAAAGAGAAAGAGCATAGATCTTACATTTTATACCTATTTGCTTCAAAATGGGTCAACCAATCGGGTACATCAGGAGATTCTCTCTAGGGATTGAGGTGTCTGCGCAAAAGTTGTTGAACCACCTTGGTTGACGCTCACTCCAAAAAAAATACAAATAATAATAAAAAAATAAAAAAAAAAAAAAACCTTCAGTAACGCCAGGGGCATTTTTTTCTCCTCACCTTCAAAGCAGTTTTCATATATTGAGCTGCCAATGTCGGACACGATGTCAATATTTTAAAAAGACATATCGATGGCTGAAGTGTGAAACCACTCATCTGCATTGCTATGTTTTCAAATCTCTGCTCCTACTTCATTTTTTCGGAGAGTAACAATTCACAACAATATAGCTGGTAATTGATACGGAATTTTCTGCTATTAGAGAAGGAAATCAAGGAAGGGTTCAAGAAATTAGGTTGTCTAGATTTTCTAATGAAAAAATAAAGTACAACAGGAAGTCTGAAACATCGCAAACAAAGATACGTGGTTTTGCACTTTTGCCATATATCTTAGCAAATTATAGAGTCAAAGGAAGTCCCAAAGCAGTTGCATTGGTTTTCTTGGTTTTTTTTTCTCGACTTTTTGGCGCTTAGTTCTTTTCATTTAATGTAAAATCCCACTTTTCCATTTTCCCAAAAGGAATCACGTCCTTTTTTACATTGTTCTCAATAGAGTTTGTTTTTCCTTTTTTACATTGTCCCCCCATACACCTGCACATCTCCATTATTCCCACACGCCTCTATTTCCTATCAGCATAAATTCGTCCATTTAACGCCCGAACACTCCACTGATTCGTTACATTTTGTGTCACAATGCTTTTTGGCGACAAAACCGACACCGAAAAAAAAAGGATGCTGATTTAACATTCTGGATGTAAAAAAGTGTGCGACAACTCACAAAACGTGAAATAACCGCCACAGCAGTTAGGTTCACATCTTGACGTTGCTAAAGTAACTGCTGTAGTGGTTAATGAACCTTCGGTTTCAGGACATTTTGTCAACAATTTTTTGTCCGCCTTTTTTGTTTAGTAGTCTATGCCCACACGTAAAATAAGCAACAGTGACTTGGTCCAAGCGTTATATTTTAGTCGGTATTTAAAATTATATTGACACAATGGAAATGAGAAATTGAGAGAGAAGGAGGTGTTGTTATGGTTGCTCATTTTCTAAATGAAATGTTATTTTTTTCTCCTTTTGAATCATCTTTTCAAATTGTCATTGGTGATATTTGGTTTTATTTCTATCCTTAATATATTGAATGTACAATATACCTTATACATGTATAGGTACTTTTTTTTATTTTTTCTTTACAAAATTATTACTTCATTTTGAAAAAATTTATATTTTTAAAACGTGACAAATATTTGTAAACCCTTTCCCAAGCGACATTAATCTCAATGAGCCGCAGTTGTGCCGACAGAAACTGCAAAAATGAATAAAAGAGGGAAAAAACCAAGAAGCAGGCAATCTTCAGTTTTAACCCATTTGTATATCGATCTTTTAGAGTCAAATACGTCAAATTTTGAGCGTTTGGTTGCGCGTACACCTCGCTGCAGCATAATAAAAGCACTGCAAAATGTAAAAGAAAAAATTAAAGTGCTTTGGAAATCATTAAATTTGACACGGAACCACCAATATTTAACAAACCCACTTTATATTATTATTCTCCTTTGATAAATTGAAACATATTTTTTACCATCAATTCAAATGAGAATAATCAATGCAGAGTGTGCTAACATTTCAAAACCATGAGTTAAAAAACGCTAAATATTAAAGCCTAACAGAGCGGAGCGGCGCGGCGTGCTGCCAGCGCGAGAGGCTCACTGGCGCCTACAAACCTAAGTGGATACTTCACGCATTGCACAATGCTTGAGGTATCCACTTAGGTTTGTAGGCGCCAATGCGCGTTTCGCACTACATGCACTACATGCCCCCTACGAGGAGCCGCGACGACGGCGATGGCTTCGTCACTGGCGATTTTTATTTCCCATTCATTCTTATGGCCCGAGCACTAACGAGCAGACCCCTTCTTTCCCACCTCCACATAGTTCTCTTTGATAGAAATACGTCCAATTAACATTGGTCAGATGGTAAAAATGCAAATGACGCCATTTGTATAGTTTAACTTCTATTTGGACTGCATTTTGTAATTTGGAACCATAAATTCAGGCCCGGTTTAAAAACAACGTATGTGCCATTAGTTTCCCTTTGCAAGTGTTTTTTCAGATGAGCCAGAATTCATAGTTCCAAATTGCAAAATGCAGTCCATTTGATCTGTGTGAAAAAGACTTGTTAATATCTCGTTCAGGAGTTGAAATCGAACTTTCCGTTGTTTGAATGGTGGTCCACGTAAGATTTTGCAGAGAGGACATCTTGTCTAGTGGCCCATTCAGTGTTTTGTGAGTCATTGCACACTTTTTTACATCCAGAATGTTAATTCAGCATCCTTTTTTTTGATGGAAAAAGTCCCTTTTAACACTAATGATTCTCGTGTTATAACCGGCAGGATTTGAGGAGCAGCTGAAGACTTTCTGCGGTTCTCCGCCGTACGCGGCGCCGGAGCTTTTCCGCGACGAGTCCTACGTCGGGGGCCCGGTCGACGTGTGGGCCATGGGAGTGCTCCTCTACTTCATGACCACCGGGTACATGCCCTTCCCGGCCGACTCCATCGCCGCCCTCAAGCGCAACATTCTCGCCGGGGTTTTCACCGTCCCCTCGCACCTCTCATCATCCTGTCGCTTCCTCATAGGTCAGTAAAACCATGAAGGTCGTTTCTGAATAATTACGGCCGTCAGTTATCCCATTTCTCGGAGCTAGTCTCGAATTTCGGAACTTTTGAGATTTTCCTGAATTTTTCCCGGAAATGTTGAAATTTTTAACATGTTACGGATCTTTTGAATTTTCTGCAACTCTCTCGGAACTTTTGGAAAAGTCTGAAAGGAATCCCGGAACTTTTGATGGCCATGGAGTGAGAGAAATTGGAATGAAAAAGTTCCGAATCCCGGAACTTTTGACGGACATGGTATGCAATGTTCGAAACTCACCTTTGAGTTTTAGGAGCCATGTGGCGCAACAAGCCCGACTTTTAGGCGCCATTGAATATTTTTTAGGGGCCAAATTGACTTTTTGCCTGTATATTACAGCGCATTTAGTGACAAGTTAGACGCCAGATGTTTTCGTAACAGAAGTAGTAGTAAGTAGCTTTAACTTGGGGAGGACAAAAGCACTAAGAATGAAATCGTGAAGAATAGAAAAAGCTTTCACTTGTAGTGCTGAAAATTTCGAGATTTTTTAATTCAAGTAGATTTGTTTTTCTTTCTTTATGTGACTTCCTATGGAAATCCAGATTTTTAGGGGCCACGTTGGCGCAGAGCCTTCATTTTTTAGGCGCCATGGCCGATTTTTTAGGCGCATTTGGCGCGTTGGTGCCTGTGAGTTTCGAACACTGTTTCTAAATAATTACGGCCGTCAGTTATCCAATTTCTCGGAGCTAGTCTCGAATTTCGGAACTTTTGAGATTTTCCTGAATTTTTTCCGGAAACGTTGAAATTTTCAAAATGTTACGGATCTTTTGCATTTTCCGCAACTTTTTCGGAACTTTTGAAAAAGTCTCTAAGGAATCCTGGAACTTTTGATGGCCATGGAGTGAGAGATATTGGAAAAAAAAGTTCCGAATCCCGGAACTTTTGACGAACATGGTATGGCAGTGCTGCTGCCAAAGTACCGTTGAAAATCGAGGGGTGAAATTTGGTGTGTGGATCACTCTGGAGTCTGTGCAGTGCCTAAAGAACCCGAGCGATGAGTGCCAAGTGAAATTCGCTTCGTAAAAGCGTACACAGAAAAAACAACTTAACGCTGAGACTTAACACTGTTTAGGTAAAATAGCGCCAACTAAAGGCAGTAGGGCTAGACCCTAAGGCTATAGGGCTGGACCTTAAATCTGTAGGGCTAGACCCTGAGGTTATAGGGTTCCAGCACTACTGCATTGAGTTGGTGCTATTTTACCTAAAGTGTTAGGGTTCTCAGCTAAGTTGTTTTTTTGTCTACGGCTCTTCCTAAAAATGGTGAATTCCACCTCGTCAAAGTATATAAGTCATTCCGTTGAGTAGATTTTACCCCGCATTAAAATCACTCGGTAACTTTAGGCGCTATATAGAATTCGACATTGAATTTCGCTCCAAAATTTTTGACAGTGTGAATGGATGTGCAGTTTGAAAAAAAACCCGCATCGCCGCTTTTTTAGAAATTCTGTTTTTAAGTGATATGGACGCTTCAGAGGTATGTTCACTTGTTCCGAGGAATTCCATATACCTTTCACATGATTTTTGAAGCTACATGTCTGCAAGAAATTTTGATTAAAAAAAAGGTATGCCTCTCTCTGTTTTACCTTCACCGTGTGCAGTGGCCGTGTGGAGTACAGAAACGTGATGTACAACGAGTACAAGATAAGACAAGTACCTTCACGTGATTGAAAACTCTCTTCTTTTTTTTTCAACTCTAAATTTAGAGAATCACACTTGTCGAGTCTATCGTGCTGAGGGAAAACGCTGTATAGACAGTCGAATGTTGCCAAATTTCTCCCGATACAATACATATTTCTCTCCAGGAATTTATGAGTATTTTGCTTGAAATTTTCAAATAATTTTGATTGAGCTGCAAATAAAATTATTAAAAGCAATGTATCCACAAGTTCCATTGGAATTTTGTGTTAAATCACTTGAAATTCAGCAATGTTCGAATGTTCATACAGCTCACTAATGTTTCGCCGCAAGGCTGCAAAAATAACCGACATTTTGTGTTAATACGGGAAGTAGAACACAAAGTATTTTAAGCGTGCTGTATCTATATTTTATGGTCAACTATCTTTAGGTCACATTGACGAAACCTTCGGGTTGAAATCTTGTGGCTTGTAATTTTTCCTCTGACTTATGCCGGAATCACATGATTTGGCAGCTGAATATGAAGGTCGACAGTCATCGCTCAACGGGTGAAATTTCGCGAATTCGAGTTATTTTCATCCAGATTTGACTCAAATCTATTCGAATAGTTCAGCGGGCCGATTATTGAAGCTGATAGACAAAGCTATAGACAAAGACGACTAAAGGGATTTGGAGGGATCCTATTGGTGGAAGTGGGTGGTGGCAATGGACATGGGAGGTAAGTAATGGACTAACTAACGGCAACCCACGAGAAACCTGACAGTTAGTCCATCATTTTCTTCCTTAGTCTATAAGATCCAATCATGTCAACCAATAGGATCGCTCTATACTCCCTATGTCTTCTTTGTCTATCGCTTTGTCTATCAGTTTCAATAATCGGCCCGCAGGCAAATCCGACGTTATCCGATGGTCGCTGAGAATCGTTGCTGAATTTTGCGCGACACGCGTAAAATTCAACATAGATTCAGCATTAAAGAATAATACATAAATAAATAGATAAATAAAAAAAACAAGAGTGCCACTAACCTAACGAGGCCCATTTTTCTTTCCCGCAGTGGGCATCCTGAAGCAAACCCCGAGCGAGCGGCTCACCCTGAAGCAGATCGAGGAGTCGGACTGGCTGGAGGGCATCAGCGTCCTGGACCACAAGAACGAGGCGTGGAGCATCCTGCCGACGGTGTCGTCCCAGCCGGGGCGCGACAACCTCTCCTCGACGGAGAGACTGGCCAGGGAGAAGCTGGCCGCGCTGGGGATCGCAGGGCCGACCCTCGAGGCGGAGACGATGCACAAGACGAGGAGCCCCGTCATCGGGACCTACCGCATCATCGTCCACCGAATCCAAACCTCGGCGATCAACGCCCACCTCGCGCCACCGCCGCCAAACCCCCAGCCCGCCAAACCCCGGCAGAACGGAATCAAGCCCAACAAGCTCGGCAACATCTTCAACAAGCCCGTCAAGTCCAGGTTTTGCTGTATACTGTAAGGCTTGGCCGAGATCCCCTCCAGTAGAGTCCCTTTGCACCCAGAGTTAAGACAACTCACTTTTGGTTGGGCCAGGGTTGGGCTGAAAGTGGCCTAAAAAAAAATCCAATTCTGATTGGTTCTCGCTCATGGAGGCCGAAACGAGTGCACCAAGATGGCGGTACCTCGAATGTGAACAAGAATAATGAAAATATTACCTAATTGTGGTTTATCAAGAGTAAATTGTTATTTCCATCGGTCCAAAATGAAAATAGATTAAGAAATTATTCACAAACCAATCTCATTTTCTTTTTAATTGATCACTTTGTTGATGTTGTTGTTTTTGTGTGACAGACATCGCAGGATTCCTGATCCTTATCCCTCGATATCGTTCGTTTGGGTGCACTCGTTTCGGCTTCCATGGCCAGCCAAGGTCGGCTGCCAGTCAGCTGATAATCGAGTTGTCTTAACTCTGGGTATAAAGGGACTCTACCCTCCAGCGGGCCGATTATTGAAAGTTTTGCTCCGAAAAAGTTATGACCCATCATCTTAAGAGCAAAAAATTTGTCCGGTAATACGCAGTTATTATTTATTTTAAAACTGTATTCCGCTAATAAGAGACAACGTAAACTATTAAAACGTATTCGAGCCTGAGCTAGAATAGTCATCGGCAATTTAAATGTTGATCGATTCGTGTGAAGAGTTGGTATCAATGTCGATCCTTGCAGGCTCAGTAAACAGGCGTGTAATGCACCACAGTAATTTTCGTACATATGTTGAAATATTGAGTGCGCCAATATGTTCCTATCCTGCAAGGATCTGTTCTGAGGGACGTAATTTAAAGAGCACTAGAACAAAGAGCGAACTCCGCGAAATAAAATAAAAAATAAAAATTACCGGAGGGAGCATCCAGTTTATAGTATGCTCTGCATGAATGTTCACACCTACGTAGGTCGGTCCCTATGTTTCATACAGTGTCTTGATTTGGGACCTTTTTAAGAAGATCTCTCAACGGAGTAGTTGAATGTGGCGCTATTGATACCTATACAGCTACAGCATATCTCCACCTTCTGGCCAAAGTATCACAAGCGCCATGCGACGTTTAAAAGTTTCCGCCGCCATTTTATTTTTTTTACAGAGAAATTGTTGGTTGAGGCTGTTCGAAAATTTCACTGAATTTGTTTTGGGCTGCCGATAAAATTAAGTGAAATTGTTAAACAAATTCAACCAAAAATTTCTCTGTAAAACACGTAATAAATAACTGACAGCGGAAATGTTTAAACGTCGCATGGCGCTTGTGATACTTTGGCCGGAGGGTGATGATATTGAGGTAAATGACAGATCTCACAAAAGTAGGAACCACTGTAGGTAGATAGTTTTCTCAATCAGATTTAGATCAGTTTCCTCAATACTTTATTATGTGAGCACCATGGCAGATTGGCGGAGCATCGCCTACCATAAGTCGTGTCACAAAATAACTTATTTTCCATGTTATTCCTACTAAGTTACCTGTTAACCATGGGTTGAAGTTTATTTTTTGTTGTGATCCAAGATCGTTAGGAAATGATGACCATGGGCGATATTTTTAATCAGCTAATATTTATGAAAATATTCGAATACACATGTGTTCGATGATATAATGTACCGTAAATTGAAGGATTTTATTTTATACTGGTATTTTTTTACCCAAACTATGTTTTAAATTGAAGAAAATAATAAATATTATACATGTTTTTACTACTATTGTGATTTCTTTCTTCTGTCACCTATTAGGCCAAGAATCTACCCTCCGCATCCCTCTATCTCATATTTAGACTGTATTTTGCAATGAAGAACCGCTTTATTTCTAGCTCATCCAAAAGTACCTATCTACACAGAGAAACCATACAGGTGCTTTGTTTAGAACATGAGCCAGGAATATTTCATTGCTACAAAATGTAGTTAACTTTTTTGGCCCCCTCTTCGGGTTCAGGGCCGAAGTTAAGGCCAGTTAGGTGGTTCACTGCTCAAAAAATATGAGGCAAACTTTTAACTATAATGGAAAATGAGGAGAGAAAAAGAAAGGGAAGATGATTAAACGCGGAGCGAGCACATTGCGAAGGAAGTAAAAGAGAGGCGAAATGAGAGGAGAGAGGAAGCAAAAACAGAAAACAGGAAAAGAAAACGACATCTTACATTAGGTTCCCGATCAAAACGATCAACTCCCGGCATTCAAATCAAAAAAAGAAAAACAGTTCTAGTGACTGTAAGCACGAAATGTTGGTTAGTTTTTCGAACTATTTACGTTCTCCGGTATACTTGTTGCCTATGCGCCGAAATTGAAGGCGGACTTAAAGTGAAGGATATCTCTATAGGTTCATGCATGGTATATTGGTTCTATTAAAGCTAATGGAGCAAAATTCGATCACATTTTGCAAAAAAAGGAACCACTATTCCTGGCTATCCTATAAAAGCACATATCTGCATAGGGGAACTAATATGGCATGTACGAGGGTCATCCAAAAAGTAAGGTTCCCTACCTTGTATCTTCCGAGCGAAACAAGATAAATCAAATCGATAAAAAAGCCCATATTAGGCATACTCCAAGCTTTAAAACAAGCCCAAGTTATTGAAAATCAGTCAAAGGATTCGCGAGTAAACTTAATTTTACAGAGACAACCTTCTGTCGCCGCGTGCCCACCTCCGGGGTCAGGATGTACGGAGAGTCGATTATTGAAGACTCGGGTTATCGTCTCTATACATCACATCAACAAGAAATTTTAAAGTTTTCATTGAGTAGGCCTTACCTTACTTTTTGACGTAGTCTCCAAATCTTTTTTGACATTTCTGGTATCATTACAGCAGCTTTTTGATGCCTTCCGCGTAGAAGCTTTCGCCTTGACTCCAAAACCAGTCATTGATAGCGATCTGCGCTTCCAAATCAGTTGCTTTGTGTAGGGAAATTTTCCCCCAATCCTTCAAACTCTCTTACTTTAGCTTCATATGACTTTCATTTGTTCCCGAGCGGAAAAACTTCCACGATGGAAGCGATTTTCAACTGATTCAGAGGTACAGATAGCTGTCAATGACTGGTTTCAGAGTCAAGGCGAAAGTTTCTATACGCGGAGGGCATCAAGAAGCTGCTATAATGATACCAGAAATGTCAAAAAAGGATGTGGAGCCTACGTCAAAAAGTAAGGTAAGGCCTACTCAATGAAAACTTTAAAATTTCTTGTTGATGTGATGTATAGAGACGATAACCCGAGTCTTCAATAATCGACTCTCCGCGCATCCTGACCCCGGAGGTGGGCACGCGGCGACAGAAGGTTGTCTCTGTAAAATTAAGTTTACTCGCGAATCCTTTGACCGATTTTCAAGAACTTGGGCTTGTTTTAAAGCTTGGAGTATATGGGCTTTTTTATCGATTTGATTTATCTTGTTTCGCTCGGAAGATACAAGGTAGGGAACCTTACTTTTTGGATGACCCTCGTATGTTGTTTTTAAAATGGGCCAGGAATAGTGGTCCCTTATTGCAAAATGTAATTCAATTATTATGCGTGTTTTTCGAATGGATAACTATTCCCACAGGTATGTTGCCTATCCAACGAAATTGAAGGCGAACTCCAGATGGACGATTCTACCAATAGGTTCACAACGTCACTTAATCAAAGCTTACGGAGCGATACCTATACTTGTGCGTTTTATCGAATAGATAACTATTCGCGCTCCCTTGACCTGTTCGTTGCCTATGCGACAAAACTGAAGGCGAACCTCAAGTGGACAATCGCTGCCAATAAATTTACGTATTTTCTACAGGCTCTAGCAAAGTTTATGGACGAAGATAGTTGTAAGTTTTATTATAGACTTGCAGTTCTGAGCAGGGCCGGATTTACTTACTTGCCGCCCATGAGCCGCCTGTATTTTGCCGCCCCCTTCTCATTCGTTTCGAAACATCAATAAAAACCATCGAGTGAACGTGCAGGAGGGGAAGGGGTGCATAAGACGTGTGTCCTCGTGTTGGACACATTTCTTTGCGAGTGTCCTGTCAACACTACTAGCAAAAGTTCACGGAACTTCGCGCGAAAGTTAAGTTCCATAAACCTATCTCTGTGTGGACAAGGCCTTCCATTTATAAGAAATGATCGAAACAATTATGAAAGAACGAACATAAATGTGGTTTATTAATTTCAACTGCCGCCGTCGCGCCGCGCTGACCGCACTGTGTTTGACGCAATGCGTGAAGTATTCATGCAGTCTTGTAGGCGCTATGCGTTTCACGCCGCCCGCTGCTGACCGCAGCGACCGCACAGTCTTCGACGCAATGCGTGAAGTATTCATGCAGTCTTGTAGGCGCTATGCGTTTCACGCCGCCCGCTGCTGACCGCAGCGACCGCACTGTCTTTGGCGCAATGCGTGAAGTATTCATTCAGTCTTGTAGGCGCCAATACGTGTTACATGCCGACTGCCGCGCCAAGTTTTCATCTCAAGTTCTCGTCATCATTGCTCTCTGCGCCGCGCCGTTCCAGGCCAAATTCCGTGTTCGGTTTCTCTATTAGTCTTAACTCGACTAATTTAAGGTGCTGTCTATTGTATCACAGAAAGACGACAAAATTAGAGATATACTTTCAGGAAATGAGAGACTTTGTCACCTTTTCCCGTTTGTATTTGTTTTTCTGAATCCGATTGTTCTTTATAGCCACATTTCAAAAAATTGCAAAATGTTCCGCCCCCTAAATTTGCCGCCATGGGCCGCGGCCCATTTGGCCACCCACTATATCCGGCCCTGGTTCTGAGCCCATTACGGCTAGCCAAGAGGTTCTACCCCCTAGACACCCCCCCCCCCCCCGTCACCCNCGCTGGTGATATTTGCCGCGCTCCGCGAGCCGTTTTTTTAGTAGAGGGGCACATGATCTCTAGATTTTTGGAGGCCCGTAAAATAAAATGGTACTATCACAGAACCTTGAGCGGCCACGACAGCTGAGAATTATCTGGAAACGCGTATCTCAAGCTCTGCATCGCTAATCCAAGATTGTTGGATCCAAGAGGATGGATTGGACTGTTTTTTTGACCCTCCCCTTCCCAAAACAGAAAAGTACCCAAGAAAACCTGTCAGAAAAGTAAGAGAGAGTGCAAAAAAGCCGACAAATCGCCCAAAACGCACACTGCAGGTGGCGATACCTAGAAAGAAAAATTTACATTTCTAGTGTTTGGGAAAGGGAGGATTGAGGAAACACTCCTTCCTCCGCCTGGATCCAACAATACTTGACCCCTTCCCTTTAAAATGTCAACTAAATTCGAGTTTCCCGTCCAAAAATACCCCCCGATACTAAATTTCACCAAGTTTCCACCGAGCTTCGCCGCGCGCGCGTCAATCAAGTGATTCAAGTGGAGATAGCGCCTTTTGATTTAATTCGGAATCCGGGTTAGCGCATTAAATCAAATGGACCTACGTGCAAAAATCCCCTATGTCTCGCTTAATATGCATTTTTTCCTAATTTTGGCAACGTACGTAATTAGAGGAACTCTTCAGCTTTCAAACAAGCTAAAGTAAACCAAAATCGGTCAATTAGTACGGAAACGCCAATTGTTTTAGTCAAACTTGCTTTACTGAGAAGTTTGGAAATGGCGTTTAGCGCCTTTTCGCATAAATACGTCCAATTTCGGGTCAAATTTTGAAAATTCAGAAATCCAAGATGGCGGACATGGCCTAAAATGCTATATCGGCCCCTGTCCAGCCGATCTTGGTGAAACTTGGTATCAGGGGGTACTTTCGCATGGGAAACTCGAATTTCGGGTCAAATTTTGAAAATTCAGAAATCCAAGATGGCGGACATGGCCTAAAATGCTATCTCGGCCCCTATCCAGCCGATCTTGGTGAAACTTGGTAGCAGGGGGTATTTTCGGACGGGAAACTCGAATTTCGGGTCAATTTTTGAAAATTCAGAAATCCAAGATGGCGGACATGGCCTAAAATGCTATCTTGGCTCCTGTCCAGCCGATCTTGGTGAAACTTGGCATCGGGGAGTATTTTTGGACGGGAAACTCGAATTTCGGGTCAAATTTTGAAAATTCAGAAATCCAA